TCGATTCGTTTGTTATTTGGGTGATTCCTTTTGTATTTCTAGTATAAGGAGTATGTTATTAAAAGTGGGATTATCTGGTTTCAGATATTATTATAAAATAAAAAAATATTATGATGTATGTGTTATACATAAAGTTAAAAAAAAGTAAATCATTTATTATTTTATAATTAATATTATTTGATTTTTCTGTTCTTCTATATTTATTTTAATTTTATTAAGTAATTTTTTCATTCACTTATTCATTGTAGTCTGCTATTGTACATATAGAAATATAAAAAATTTTAGTCTTTACTTAGGAAGGAAGCGTCAACTATTTTGATTGTTAATAAGAATACTAAGAACATCATAATTAAAACTTTTCCTTTGTAATGTCATATCTTATCAATACAAAATTCATAGAATTTACAAAATACAAAGCTCGCTTATTACATCCTTCCGGTACAAAATAACAAAACTTAGGAAGGATTCACTTTCAAGGAATATCAATGTAAAAATAAATATTTATTCCTTGCTTTTATTTTTGATATCATACTTTTGTTTATTTTATGCTATTATATTTCTGGTTTATTTAAACACAAAAATTCTCTGAAATTTTTTATTTACTTTGGCTACTTCTTAACAATATAAGCGGACGACAATAACAACAATAACGTACAAATTTTGGTATAGAATTTTTTGTTGTTTTGTTTGTAGTGAAATGGGGTCACCGCCATGTTAAATGGAGCTTGATTTAATTAATACCACATCTCGCCATTGTTCTCAGTAAATGTAGTCAATCCATTTGGGATTGTCGTAATTGGAAATTGTTGCCATTTGTAACCCGTTTTAACCGAACGTAATTTATTTGTGCTACTCAGAGTACATTTCAAAGCAGACTTTAAGCCATTCTTTTTGTTTTATTTCCGGCTACTATCTCAACTAAATAAACAAAAGCCGAGTTCCTTTATTTATAATTTAATGTTTTACATTTCAATATTGTTTACTTTTTGATTTATTTACAAACAGTGTTCGGTTGACTTTAAACAAGTTTAACCTTTTATTAAACCTTAATGTAAATTAATGAAAATTTTATGTGAACATATTCTGTTAAATATCTGTATCTACAAAGCCTTAAGTTTAAGAAACATAGTTCCTAAAATATTACCAAATATATTGTATTCTCGAACGCAACTCTAGAAGTAACTCAACAGGTACTCAGATTGATAATATTGAATTGTTCTGGGCAAAGAGAGATCACAGTTGAAAAGAAAAAATCGAAGTCTTCATAATATTACCCATTATTGGTCAAGGCGATACACTCTCAACCATTCTGGTAAAAGTTATTACAAGCATGGCGTCATTTAAGACAGTTGAGATAAACTAATTAGGTACTAGAAATAGGAATAAACGGGGTACTAGCTCCCAGCACTGTGACCATGATTGATCTTTTGTGCTGCAACAGATCCTAACCAAACAGAAAACATTCTTCCTAATGTCACAAGGGGAGAGTATTTCTCCACCCAGTGACCTCATCCTGCCCCAGATTAAGGCTGAGCAGTCACAGAGAATGTGATTGGAAGTCTCGTCTGCTTCTAAGCGGAGTCGACAATCTTTCTCGACTGTCGCGCTAGTAACAACTTCTCTTGGCTAAAAACCATTTATCAATCTGAGACCTAGTTGTAGACCATCTTAATTCACAACATGACTCCGGTCCACAGATTTGAATGACAAATTAGGTACTATAATTTTTCTAAAAACAGTACAAAATGAGATAAAAGTGAAAAAATAGAACTAGATACGCCATACGCTTAGATAACCGAGAGATTACATATCGCAGCAAGCGTTGGCATAGAATCCACAAGGTAGCCGAAGACCTGATGCGCCAGCGAAAACGTAGAGATGAACGATCATAGTGAGCTAGCTGAAGCAAGATATACATGGAACGACATCTAGAAAGAAGCATCAAACAGAGTTCGATTTAAAAAAATTATTGAAGGCCCTATGTTTCACTGGGGGAAGTGTACAATAGTAGTAATTAGGTACTATACTAAATAAATCATTTTAAGTCTCTGGAGACGTAACCTTAAATTGCTAGCAAGAAACAAATAACCCATAGTTGAATTATACCAAAGAAGAAAATGCGAGCCAAGTAAAGTTGATGTATAAATAAATATCGATAAAATAATATATATGATAAGTTCGAAGACACATCACATAATAATAAATGAAGAGTAATATTTGAATGGATTAAAAGTTTTGAACTTATAAGAACTGCCATAGAGAATATATTTGACCGACATCAACATATGGACATAAAGGAAATTAACGAAATAATTGAAGAGGAAAGAAGCACGATTGAAAGGAAAGTGCTTGAAGTTATATATAGGACAGGCTTGAAAGGAAAGTACTTAGAAAAAAAATTGGAAAGTTATATATAGTAGTGTTATTTATATAGGGAAGATATAGAGGCCGCTAAGAACGAAAGAAAGTTGGAAGTTATATATAGTAGTGTTATATATATAGGGAAGGTATAGAGGCCGCTATAATTACGAATTAGATCGACCTATAAGAAGTGACATAATAATGCATTTTACGAAGAATACAAATGTTACAAAAGCTGGGGCACATAATCATATGTCTATTAAAGCAGAAAAGTAGAAGATACTTAAATATAAAATATTAGACAAATGTGAAATCAAGAGCAAGCATGCATTAAGGAATAACCAAAAAAGTTTAATTCTCGAAGTTAAAAGTAAATTGAAGCAATGCGGATATAAAATTAAAGGACACTGATAAAAAAAAAGGGATAAATGAAGAAAGATTGTTCAGCAGATATTCTCCTAATTAAATATTAAATATTTATTAATATATGTTAAATATTTTAAATTCAATTTTAATGAAATTGTTATGTAAAATTTAGTATATTTTGTTTCATAAAATTTAAAAAACTATTTTTTTATTTTATTATATTTAGCCTATATTGAAATTATTTGCACGTACAATTGCTTCCCCTTTTAACTTTTCGACTGCAAACTATTCAAACTTACCAAATTAAGTCCTTTTTATTGTGTTTAAAGTTTCTGAAGTAGTTATCCTCTACTTACAGTGGTCAAGTAATAATATCCTTTTTCGAGTTCATTATTGCTATTTTAGTGGCGCTTAGCCTTTAATTTTAGTCCTTGTCTCTTGTTTCTTAATTTTTTTTATTTAAGTTTGCTTATTTTAAAATTATTTCGTCCTTATTCTATACCGCATCACAGTACTTGTAAAATAAAATAAACTGAAAAGTTATTTTTAGGTCAAAAATACAGTAAATAACTGGAGTGGCTTTAGGGCAGGATTTATAGTAACGAATTCGTAGTGAAACTTCAAAACTTTATGCCGTGCACTTAATTTTAAACGTTTAAAAAATAATAAAAATAATAAAATTTTTAATTCTGCTATTTTTGCTGTTTTGTCTGAAATTCATTTCACAGCTCATTCACGTCAACCCTAACAAGCTTTAGAGCGGCATTCAACGGAAACGGTTGCAGTTTAGTTTAATGAAACAATTTGTTGCTTAGGGATTTGACTGAAAATACATTTTTTGTGTCGGAAGGATTATTTTTAAATATGTTAAGCTTAAAATATTTTGAAAATAATATTTTTATTCGTTTAATTCACTGCAGTGATTTACACTTTAAGTTGGCTCAATAGCAGTAAGCGGTAATTTACATAGAGTACATCGGAACTGAAAGAGCATTGAGCTATCTCGTTTGCATTATATTGTTACAAAATATGACCACTTGTTGTGTAGAAATATTTTAATATTTTATAATAATACCACTGATATGGTGAAAAATGAATGTTGTAGTTAAAAAAGAAAAAATAAACACTTTAAAAATCGCACAAAAAAAAGTACAATTAATAGCACATAGTACAACTATATTATTGCTGTACATATCGTTATATAGCTGTGGTTTATGCGTTTTTTCTTATAAGAAAGCTCTATACTGACATAACGCAAACTGAGGGTAAGTATCCGTATACCCAAATAAAATAAAACCATTTTGTGTATTTATACATAGTTAGTGTTTGTATAATAATTTGTATTTATATAATTTTGTGTATAGTTTAAAAAACTATGAAGTCTACAAGTGTTCCAAATATGGTGATCCTACCAACATGACATTCATATCTATGAATGGAACACACTATTGTTTTGCATATTTTT